CACCTCCTCCGCCTCCACCTCCTCCACCGCTGCCACCTCCGCCACCTCCGCTCCCACCGCCACCGCCGCTTCCGCCTCCGCCTCCACTGCCGCCACCGACACCTCCACCCCCGCCACCACTCCCACCACAACCCTCACCCCCTCTGCCGGCTCCACCGCCACCTCCACCGCCCCCGCCAGCTCCTCCAGCGCACTTGCCCCCCTTGCCCTTGCCTGTGCGGCGCTTCCTCGAAGGGGCAGACGCAGCTCCGACCGACTCGAAACCAACGAGGTCGGCTGAAGCAGCAGAAGCAATAGAGGGCAAGAGAGGGGAGGGAGAACACCCCTCAAAGACGGGGGTGCGGGGGTCACCACGAGAGGCTCCTACAGCGACTATGCTCTTCCATGCTGCTAGGAGGGCCTTCTCGAGGAGGTCAACGGTGAGAGTGGTGGGGCAAACAAAGAGAAAGTGGTCCCTGACTACGCGGAGGGAGTCAGGGAGACGGGTGACTATATAGTAGAGGGTGATGTACATGGGGAGGGGGGGGTTCTTGGCGCAGAACTCAGCAGGAAGCGCAGCGCGGTAGTGAGTGTCACTAGTGCGGAGGTGCGTAATGAGGTCAGTGATTGTGGGAAAGGCAGCAAGGTCAGGGAAGAGGTACGGTAGCATGAGGCAGCTCAGTGCAGCAGTGGCAGGGGAGGAGTAGTGTGCAACTACAGCGTCGTACAAGGTCTGAGCACTCTTGTACTGGCTAAAGTGCGCACGCTCAGAGGTAGGCAGGTGGCGACGCACAGCAAGACGTGCAGCAGCATCGCGTGTGGCCAACTGTTAACGAACAGTGGCGTCAGCATCAGCAGCAGGGACAGGAGAGGCACCAGAGGTGAGGTCAAAGAGGGAGAGACCGTCTGCCCTATCGCACTGTAAGAAAAGCTGGAGGTCATCTATCCAGACGTCAAAGTCAATGGCCCGACCCTCAGCGTCAAAAGCGAGGACACTAGGGGTGGCCATGACAGCAGGAGACTAGCAGCGCGTACAGTAGGGTAAGGGCAGTACAATGACAGAGGCGCTGCTCTTACCGGACAGGGCGGCTTGGCGGCTCGGCTGCTGGGCGGCTCGGCGGCGCGTCAGCTGGGCGGCTCGGCGGCTCGTTGGCTCAGCTGTTCGGCTGCTAGGCGGCTCGGCGGCTCGGCTGCTGGGCGGCTCGGCGGCGGTGGCTCCTGCCTCAGGGACGGCGGCGGCCGGCCGCTAGGGGCCGCGAAGTGCGGCGGATGGGCCGTGAAGGGCGGCACTAGGTGCCGCCTAGGGCGGCGACGGGCCGTGAGGAGGCCGCCTGTAGCGGCAGCGGGGCCAGGTGGAGCGGCGGCGGGGCCGGGTGAGGCGGCGTCGGGGCCGGGAAGGGCGGCGCCGTGGCCGCAGGGGTAGGTGACGGGGCCAGCCGAGGTGGCGTCGGGGCCGGGAAGGGCGGCGCCAGGGCCGCAGGAGTAGGCGTCGGGGCCGCTAGGGCGGCGCAAGGGGCCGCAAGGGCGGCGCACGGTGGGCCGATGGGCGGCGCAAGGGGCCACAAGGGCGGCGCGACGGGCGGTAAGGGCGGCGCGACGGGCCGTAAGGGCGGCGCTAGGAAGCCGTGAGAGGGCCGCTAAGGGCGACGCGAAGGGGCCGTGAGGGGCCTAGCGAGGGCGCGACGGTAGGGAGAGGGCACGGGGCGCGACTCGGGCCTGAGCGAAGCGCGCTCCGGGCAGGAAAAAAAAAATCGTGGTGGTGGGCCCTAGGAATGGTTCCCACTAGGGAACTTGGTCGTTACAATGAGAAGAAACGAGGAATGATTGAACTATGAAAGAGTTGGGTACAAGTACTAACCCTAATTGGGTTGTACCCCTTATGGGCTACCCCAATACAGCCTACACAAATGTATAAGCTATAATGTTCTGACATGCCCTTGCCTGAGCGGCATCTCCCGCTAGGGGCAGACGCCGCGCCGACAGACTCAAGACCAACTAGGTCGGCCGCAGCAGCAGAGGCAACAGAGGGCAAGAGGGGGGAGGGGGAGCACCCCTCAAAGACAGGGGTACGAGGGTCACCACGAGAGGCTCCTACAGCGACCATGCTCATCTCTGCTGCTAGGAGGTGCTCCTCGAGGAGCTCAACGGTGAGAGTGGTGGGGCAGACAGAGAGGAAGTTGTCTCTGACTGGGCGAAGTGTGTCAGGGAGCCGGGTGACTATGAAGTAGAGGGTGATATACATAGGGGGGGGGTTCTTGGCGCAGAACTCAGCGACAAAGGCAGCGCGGTGACGAGCGTCACTAGTGCGAAGGTGCGTGATAAGGTCAGCGACAGTAGGAAAGGCAGCGAGGTCAGGAAAGAGGTATGGCAGGATGAGGCCGCTAAGGGCAGCAGTGGCAGGGGAGGAGTAGCGCGCAACTACAGCGTCGTACAAGGTCTTAGCGGTCTTGTACTGACTAAAGTGCCCGCGCTCAGCGGTCGGCAAGTGGCGGCGTACAGCAAGGCGAGCAGCATCATCGCGTGTGGCCCACTGTGAGCGAACAGTGGCGTCAGCATCAGCAGCAGGGGCAGGGAAGGCGCCAGAGGTAAGGTCAAACAGAGAAAGGCCGTCTGCCCTATCGCACTGGAGGAAAAGCTGTAAATCATCTACCCAGATCTCAAAGTCAACAGCACGACCCTTAGCGTCAAAGGTGAGTACACTAGGGGTGGCCATGACAGCAGTGGAACAGCAGTGAGATTAGCAGGGTAGGGACGTGCAGTGGCAGAGTCGCTGCTCTTACCAGGCAGGTGGGACGGCTCGATGCAGGGCAGCTCGGCTGCTGGGCGGCTCGGCGGCTCGGCGGCTCGGCTGCTCGGCGGCTCGGCTACTGGGCGGTTCGGCGGCTCGGCGGCTCGGCTGCTGGGCGGCTCGGCTGTTCAGCTGCTGGGCGGCTCGGCGGCTCGGCGGCTCGGCTGCTGGGTGGCTCGGCTGCTCGGCGGCTCGGCTGCTAGGCGGCTCGGCGGCTCGGTTGTTGGGCGGCTCGGCGGCTCGGCTGCTGGGCGGCTGTGCCACTAAGGAAGGCGGGGCCGCGAAGGGCGGCGGGGCCGCTGAAGTGAGCGGCGACGGGGCCGCAGAGGAGGCAGCTGGAGGGCCGCTGAAGGGCCGGCGTCGAGGCCGCTGCAGAGGTGGCGACGAGGCCGCTGAAGAAGGCGGCGTCGGGCCGTAAGGGGAGGGCGGCGACGGGGCCGCTGAAAGAGGCGGCGGGGCCGCTGGAAGGGCGGCGTCGGAGCCGCTATAAGGGCGGCGACGGGGCCGCGTCAGGGGCGGCGACAGCGCCGCTGTAAGGGCGGCGACGGGGCCGCTGCAAGGGCAGCGACGGGGCCACTGTAAATGCGGCGACGGGGCTGCAGGTGAAAGGGCAACGACGGGCCACAGGGGGAGGGCGGCGACGAGCCGCTGAGGGTGGTACGACGGGGCCGCGAAAGGGGCGGCGCGACGGGGCCGCGAAAGGGCGGCGCGACGCGGCCGGGAAGGGCGGCGCGATGGGACCGCTAAGGGCGGCGCGACAGGCCGCTAAGGGCGACGCGACGGGGACGCTAGGGAAGGCACGACCCTAAGCATGCTCCGGGCAGGGGCGGGACGCGCCCCGGGCAGGAAAAAAAAAGTCGGTGGGCCCTAGGAACAGTTCCCACTAGGGAACCTGCTCGATACCATGTTGAAAAGAGAACGAGAATGATTGAACTATGAAACAGTTGGGTACAAGTACTAACCCTAATTGGGTTGTACCCCTTATGGGCTACCCTACTACAGCTTACACAAATGTATAAGCTATAATGTTCTGACAGGCGCTTATATCCGGTCCTCGATTATAAGCCCACCCCTGAAGGATTACGGATTATAAGCGCCACCCTCGGTTTGTTTTTGTTATAATTGTACTGAAATTGTTGTAAAGAAACTCACATTTCCATTCCCGCATTGTGAATTTCGATACCCTTCACCTCGCTCGGCTCATTGCATGCGCGTCCAATCAGAATGAGCTGTCAGCGGCATAAGTTGACTCATTTTAACTGTGTGTATTGGCAGGGATTCATTCCCTACCAACTTGCACGAGATTATCAATTCCAGCCGCGCATAATTTTGACTTGATTCAAAATGCAAGAACGTCATCTACTTTTTGGTGTTAGAAATACGCATTTTATAAATGTCATTCTATAAGCGCCGATGCTTATAAAAGTCCTTGATTATAAGTGCACCCCCTAAAAAACAGTGTTTTTGCATCGTGTAACCTCCGATACGGTTGCTGGACGGTCAACAGTCACGACCGTTGACTTTCAGTGACTGTTGACCTTCGAGTGACTCTCTGTCTGCTGAATGCTCTACTATATGAGCTATTTCGGTACTGGTGCGATAGCGCTGTTTTGCTATGAGGTGAAGCACTAGAGGAGGGCCTTCGGGAATGCTATGTGATAACCTTTCGGTTATTCCAACATATTGGAGCAACCTGAATTAACCATAATTCCAACAACTCCAAACCCCCCTCCCCCCCATGTAGAAACAGGTCTAAGACCCTGCTGGTCTTAGAGAGTTATCGTGACGAAGGGCACCCTCACAGCTCTGCACTGGCAGCACATCATTCCCACATTTATCCAAGGGGACTGCACACTTCTCGTGCAGCCGCTGGATGTCGCCGTCAACTGTAGGTGATGTCTCACCCTGATTTGTTACCAAATGTTTGATAGATTTTATGGTAAGCTAACGCTTCTTCCGATGTGTCCGCAGGGATCCCAAAGAAGCCACCAGCCGACATTGTTCTGCGGCGGATCACGGAAGCGTGTGATGGAGTCTTAGCGGAGACAATCGAGGGGGTTCTTATTGCCGGGAGATTACGGTAGTAACGTTGACCCACCAGTCTGCAATTTGAGTTCCAAAACATTCCAAAATAGCCGTGGATTCTAGTGGAAAGTGTTGTATTGTACGTGGTATTGAGGACAACACAAGCATAGAAGATGAGCTCTCTAATACATGAAATGCATCAACCATTCTAAGGATTGCAGAGGTAGCCAATGCAGTTGGAGATGGCAGGTGCCGCAAACTTGAGACCCTGGCAGCGCCAGACAGTGGGGCACGCAATCGGTGCCGCTGCAGCACACATAAGGTCCGTGAATAAGGGGCATGGGAAAAGGGAGAAGAGGAGATGTTGAACAGGGGGAAAAAGGGAGATGTTAGAACTGGTGGGAAAGCAGAGACGGATATACAAGCAATCACCAGCAGCAAATGCTGGCAATGGCAATTAACAAAGTGAAACACAACATTCTTTCTTGGGCTAACAACAAGGGCGAAGACGTTAGAACAGGCGGGAAAACGGAGGAGAGTTAGGCAATTTGTTGCAGTACATGCTGGCATTGGCAAGTAGAATAGGGAATAAGCAGCATTAATATCTTGGTTCAGCAGCTGTAACAGATGTTGAATCACCACTCACAAACGCAAGCCATGGGGAGAATAGCAGCAGCACCAGCAGTATTCGCCGTCTTGGCAGTGAACAGTTCAGCAGCATTGGGCGTGCACACCCCTGTGCCACCGCACAGCATGCCCTGACCACTTGCACTGCCGCAAATGTCACAGCCCGATGCTCGCTGCTCCGTGACGCGCCCCTTAGTAGGAGTGTTGCAGGTGGTGGCGCTGGTGAAGCACTTGGCAGCAGAGACGCAAGAGGTGGTGGAGTTAGCAGGGAAGGTGCCCGAGAGGAAGTTATTGGAGAGGACAACTGCCTTGAGCGATGCTGACACCGGTGGCACGCGGTATGTCAGGTAGTTGTACGCCATGCTCCTGGATTGCATAAGTTGTAGAGGTGAGGGAGGGGGAGTCTGGATGGTGTGGTTGGGAGAGAGAAAGGGCTGTGAGATGAGAGGTTTCGAAGCAATACCTTAACAAAAAATGATATTGATGAGTAGGAGCAGGCTGAGATGGTATGGAAATTTGTTTGGGGGCAAAGTAGGAGCGTGGGACATCACTGAGCAGCGACAAAGGTAAGGCATGCAGCAATTGGCAGGCGGCATGAGGTATGAGGCATAGGGCATGGCACTGACAGACGGGTGAGTTTGGTCATGGCAAGGAGAGGCGGGGCCAGCGAGCCCTTGAACCAGTTGTAGTCTAGCAAGCTGGAAGGAATGCACACAGAGGGACGCAGAGGAGCGCAGAGAAGAGTGCAGTGGGTGCAGAAAGGCACAGAGGGGCACATATGACCTTTGTGTAAGAGGGGAAGATATTAAGGATAATAGGAAAGTTAGGAGAGACATGTAGGAGGAAAACCGAGGGGACAAACAAGGGAGAATTAAGTGACTGGCAAAAGACTGCGAGGGTGGTAGTACGCCGTGGTTCACGGGAGAAGGGCAGCAACACCCTAGAAAGGGCGCAGCATCCTAGGCTTGCTTGAGCAGCTGCAACAATCATACCACGAGGGTGGCAATGGAGTTCTCGGCCCGTCGTGCTGGTGGGGCAGTAGCGCGTGTGCAACAACAGTACCAGTCTGAGAATTCTCCTGGAATGGACTGCCAGGTTGGTGAGCGACTCACAGCACTGCCAGGTTGGTGAGGGCAGGTAGCCTCAACGCAAAATCTTTAAGGCGTGCCTTGAACAGGTTGGACTGCAGGTTGCTGCGACCCCGGTGTGCACATCGGGGGCTAGAAAACGGAGGGAGAGAGGATGGATTAAAGGGAGCGATGATGGAATTGGAAAAAGTATAAAGGTTGCAATCCTGAGCCATGATGCATAATTTTCACCCATGAATGAAGGGAAGGGAACGATTAGATGCAAGAGGTTGGGATCTCAAACTAGACGCATAGGTGCATTGACAGTCATAAGCATGGCTGCTTGCATAGTCGTGACGCTAGCTACTGCAAGCATACAAGTTGATAGCTTTGTTTGTGTAATCGACAACGTCATGCCGACATGAATGTGAGATCTTACTTGTATTTCGGTGCTTGTATGCATGGAAATTTGCTCACAAGCATGTGTACATGTGTGCACTCACAGGTAAGTAAGTACTGTGAGTTTGGTGACATCAGCAGGGAGCACTCCGAACAGCTGCTGGTTGTTGATAGTGCTGGCACAGGTGGGCAGGAAATAAAAGGGGAAGTAAGGAAGGGTCCAGGGGGGAGGATCAGGTGGGAGAAAACCGCGGGTTGAAACATCAAGAAACGAATTAAGAGGGACAAGGAAAGAAACAAAAGTGAATGGAGCACTCGGGGATTCAAGTTTAGACGAAGGAATCAACAAGAAAGCAGAAACAAAAAAAATCAAGGGTAGGGGACGGTGTTGCCGAGGGACAAAGAGATGGGGGAGAGCCATTGTTGGCTTAATACTCTACTAGTCACTTTACCATTTGCACCGTACTTTGTTCACAGGGTTGCCAGGTTAAGAGAATTTAAAACACACAACACTGGTTAGGCTACCTAATTCTATTCCCTTCTTTGGAATGAGCTCTTCCGCACAACGAGGGTTCTATCTAAGGTGAAAGCAATCAAGGGCTCACATCTTGACAGGGTTGCCAGCTGAGTCACACTCCACACCCGTCAAGCTCCCACTCGTTACAGTGCCACATGTCCCTGCCAGCGTGCAGACAGCATTCACCGCCCACCCTGTGTGCGTCACTCCCAAGGCTGTCTTGATGCTCAGCAGCGCTGCCACTGTGGCCGTGAGAGGTGGGATGATGAAGAGAATGGGGATTGAAGCAGGGGCTTTGAATGTCCCAGAGGTCAAGGTGGGAAGAACCAGACATGAGTGTGGCGGAACGAGAAATGAAAATGGAGGCACGCAGGTCATTAATGTAAGAATTTATTCCCATGGAGATTGAAAATGTGGAGAGGGGGGCCACCCCCCCATGCCAACTCCTAGCTATGCTTTCAATGCAATGCCTACACCTGTTTGCCCGAGATTACTTATGTTGGTGTAAGGGCCTAATAAACTCAAGCTATTAAGACTTTATCACACTTAAAACCTCTCCTCGAGGTCACCTCCAAGGGTCCTTGGGTGCCTGGTACAAGACCAGCCCCTGTCCTCGGGTCCGAGTTTGTAGAGAGAGGGATCAAGAGGGACTTAGTCAAAACAACAAGAGTACCTTGAACGTCGCGCAGGGTATCGTGCAGACCGTTGATCGGATTAAGCTCAGAATTTCCTATATCGAAGCTCGCTCAAAGAGCTTTAAAATGAACCAAGTTGCCTTGCGAGAAGTGTTGGTGTAAGGGCCTAATAAACTCAAGCTATTAAGACTTTATCAAACTTAAAACCTCTCCTCGGGGTCACCTCCAAGGGTCCTTGGGTGCCTGGTACAAGACCAGCCCCTATCCTCGGGTCCGAGTTTGTAGAGAGAGGGATCAAGAGGGACTTAGTCAAAACAGCAAGAGTACCTTGAACGTCGCGCAGCGTATCGTGCAGACCGTATCGTGCAGTTATGGCTCGGACAGCGTTTGCCTAGTGTTGGAGTGCTAGCGTACTAGCGTTGACTCATGTAGCATTCCGCCGTCGCACCGCGTAGAAAGGAAATTCCAGCAAGGAATTCGCTTGAATCAATTTCACTATATCCAGGTACAAACAGAGAAAGAATAAATAGTTCTAGCTAGCAAGGACCTTGGGAATAAATCTGGGAACAACCAAGGATGATCCCAAATAATTCCAAGCAACAGAACCAACCTGGCTGGACAAAACAGCAGGTGGTAGGTTGGTAAACAACCTCTGGTTCTGTTTTTCCAACCTCGGAAAACAACAACCAGGTTCAGGTCCTAAAAACAGAACCTGTTTTGTCTTTGCCCAACCAGCCAAAAGCTGGTTCCGCTGGTTTTCCCTGGCCCTGTAGCATGCAGATACAGACAAACAACATCCAACCTTCACCTAAATTGTACCCCTATAGTGCCTGCCCTGCTACACTATAGTCAACCAAACAAAACAGTACAATTTCGAGTTGGATAGAACTGAATCTACGCAATCAAGTAAGCCGAACCGCAAAGCTTCCATCTTGGGTTCCTTTGCGAGCTCGTCCTTTCTGCTGGTACTGTTCATAGCGCGTACAATGTTATGCCGAAGCGCACAATGCGTGAGTACCTGCAAATGCTTCAAGCGAAAATTGTGAAAGCAAACAAACACACGAACATTCCATTCATACCCAAATGCATTCGCACACGCATACTCGTACAGACGGCAGGATGTCGTGCAATGTGAATTTGCACCCAACACACTCCCCCTCAGCCTTGTCGGCTGCATCCCCATCATTCCATACTAGTTCATGCTCATTCCATTTATGCGCATACAACACCAATGAGGCTCATCTGCAAGCCTCTTGGTGAGGATGTCTACTGGCTGCTGGTGAGTCTTGATGTATATCGGATTCATCGTCCCCCTCTTCACCTCCTTACGCAGCCAGTGCCACTTGATACGCATGTGCTTATTGAGCCCATGAAGCACAGCGTTTCTGGCCATTCCAAGAGCTCCCTTGCTATCACAAAACAACGGCGTAGCAACCTTTTGCTCCTGGCCAATCTCTTCCAACAGCCTCCTCAGTGTTGGTGTAAGGGCCTAATAAACTCAAGCTTTTAAGACTTTATCACACTTAAAACCTCTCCTCGGGGTCACCTCCAAGGGTCTTGGGTGCCTGGTACAAGACCAGCCCCTATCCTCGGGTCCGAGTTTGTAGAGAGAGGGATCAAGAGGGACTTAGTCAAATCAGCAAGAGTACCTTGAACGTCGCGCAGCGTATCGTGCAGACCGTTGATCGGATTAAGCTGAGAATTTACTATATAGAAGCTCGCTCCAAGAGCTTTAAAATGAACCAAGTTGCCTCGCGAAAAGTTCTGCCATTACGAAGTTATGGCTCGGACAGTGTTTGCCTAGCGTTGGAGTGCTAGCGTACTAGTGTTGATTCGTGTAGCATTCCGCCGTCGCACCGCGTAGAAAGGAAATTCCAGCAAGGAAGGAATTCGCTTGAATCAATTTCACTATATTCAGGTACAAACAGAGAAGGAATAAATAGTTCTAGCTAGCAAGGACCTTGGGAATCAACCTGGGAACAACCAGGGATGATCCCAAATAATTCCAAGCAACAGAACCAACCTGGCTGGACAAAATAGCAGGTGGTAGGTTGGTAAACAACCTCTGGTTCTGTTTTTCCAACCTGGGAAAACAACAACCAGGTTCAGGTCCTAAAAACAGAACCTGTTTTGTCTTTGCCCAACCAGCCAAATGCTGGTTCCGCTGGTTTCCCCTGGTCCTGTAGCATGCAGATACAGACAAACAACATCCAACCTTCACCTAAATTGTACCCCTATAGTGCCTGCCCTGCTACACTATAGTCAACCAAACAAAACAGTACAATTTCGAGTTGGATAGAACTGAATCTGCGGAATCAAGTAAGCCAAACCGCGAAGCATCCATCTTGGGTTCCTTTGCGAGCTTGTCCTTCTGCTTGTACTGTTCATAGCGCGTACAATGTTGTGCCGAAGCGCACATTGTGCGAGTACCTGCAAATGCTTCGAGCGAAAATTGCGAAAGCAAACAAACACACGAACATACCATTCACACGCAAATGCATTCGCACTTGCATACTCGTACAAACAGACGGCAGGATGTCGTGCAATGTGAATTTGCACCCAACACTCAGCGAAATCACCTCCTTCACCCCATGAAACATTGCCATGTACTCTGACTCCACAGAAGAGAGTGCTGTCTCTGTCTGCTTCTTTGACCTCCAACTAACTGGTCCTCCCCCAACTACGCAGATGTATCCTCCCACAGATGAGGAATCCTCCTTCTCAGAGGCCCACGTAGCATCGGTAAAGCAAGTGAGAAAGAGCTTGCCTTCTCCAAGCCTCTCCCCCTTCTCTTTCAGCACCTCATTCCTTTTCTGCTTCTCCTGTGCAGATGCGGAATATTGAACTCCAATGCTTTGGTGAGAGTTCAGATACTTCACCACACGCTCAGCTACATCCACCTGCTCCTCTTATGGATTCTGCACCACCCTAGCCAGCTGCCCAACCGAGAAAGAGATGTCGGGCCTCGTGTGAACTGCTGCATACAAGAGGCTGCCCACCAAGGACTGAAATTGCTGCTGCTCCTCGGCTTCAACCCCTCCATCCTCTACAGCTTTCACAAGCTTGAATTCTGCTGGCAGGGGAGTTGCAACCTTGCGCTCATTCTCAATTCCGTACTTCTCCCCAAGCTCCTTGATGAACTTCTTCTGGTGCAGCTTCAACCACCTGTGATCCAGATCTCTCTCCACGTGCATCCTGAGGTAGTACTTTACCTCCCCAAGGTTCTTGCACTTGAAGTTCTCCATCAGCTGCTGCTGCACCTTCTGGATCTCCTTCATGCTGCTACTAAAGAGAAGAATGTCGTCCACATAGACCAGAAAGAGCACCACCTTCTCCCCCTCCCCCTTGAGAAAGAGGCTCTCATCACAGCTGCTGGTCCTGAATCCTATCTCCTCTAAAACAGCTGCCAACTTCTGGTACCAGCAGCGTGGCGCCTGCTTCAAGCCGTAGATGGACTTTTTCAGCTTGCACACCCTGCCCGTACCATCCTCATACCCAGGCGGCTGCGTCATGTACACATCCTCCTCTAAAATCCCATTGAGGAATGCCGTTGATATATCCATCTGAATGATGAATTTTCCACTAACGGTTGCATCTGCCAACAAGACACGGAAGGTAGGGGGTTTGGTAGTGGGAGCAAAGATCTCATTGAAGTCCCGCTTCTCCTTTTGCATAAACCCCTTAGCCACCAACCTACTCTTATAGATGGTGACCTGCCCCTTGTCGTCAGTTTTGATCCTTAGCACCCACTTGCATTGTACCGCTTTCTTTCCCTCATGCAGCACCACTAGTTCCCAAGTCCCATTCTCCAGCAGGCTCTGGTACTCAGCATCCCTAGAAGCCAGCCATTTGTCCCTATCTGGTCCAGCTAATGCCTCCTCCATGCTAGCTGGTTCCTCTGGTGCAGGGGCAAGAAAACAGTACGCAGGCTCATCCTCCTCATCCGGGTCATAGCCATGTGGTAGAATCAGCAATGCCTCCTCGGTCCCAAGCTGCTGCTCCGCTACATCAGCTCCTGCAGTCAGCTTCTTAGTAGCCATACGGGTACGTCCTTGCATGGAGACGGTTGTCTCCCATCCCTTCATAACGACACCCTTCGGCTTCTTAGTTTTCCCCTGCTGCTGCTCTCTCCCCTCAGATCCAGCAGCTCCACTAGTGCCAGTCTCCACATCATTTTCTCCACCAGCAGGTGCCACCTGTACCTTCTTTCCATCACCACCCTCTGCAGCTGCCTCCTCTCCTTCCTCCCACACACTAGGAGTCAGGTCCAGTTGCATGGTGATCTGCTCCATTTGCTGGGACACCCTGGCCTCCGGCTGTTTCTCCCAGCTCCCATACATCATGCCCTCAACAAACTTCACATCCCTGCTGTCAAACAACACACCCTTGGAAGGTTCCCACAGCAGCCATCCCTTGCTCTCAGCAGCCAGCCCCAAATGCACACACCAGATTGCACTCGCCCCCAACTTACTGCGGTAGGTCTTGGGGACGTGGGCGACTGCGATGCAACCGAACACCCTCAGCATGTCCGCCGGCGGCTTCCTCCCAAGCCACCTCTCGAACGGCACCCACGAGTCATCCCCAACCTTTGTGAGTACCCTGTTCCTAGCTACGGTAGCGTGCGGAACAGCATGGGGCCACATGAAGTTGCCCAGCCCAGATTCTATGAGCAGCGCCCTAGCTGTCTCCAGAATTGTCCGGTTCGCCCGTTCTGCTACACTGTTAGACTGTGGGGTGTAAGCCGTGGTCAGCTCCCTCTGGATGCCCTGCTTCTTGAGCCAGGCCGTCATCTCAACTCCAAGGAACTCACCACCCCGATCTGTCCTAATCCGCTTCACCACACACTCCGCTTGCTTCTCCACGAATGGCAGCTAATCTTCCCGTATTGTAGAGGCGGCATGGTCCTTTTGCTTCAGCGGATATGCCCACATAAGCCTGCTCCAATCATCCACTATGGTCAGAAAGTACCGCTCCCCCTTGTGCCCCTGAACCGGCAGCGGCCCCACCAAGTCCATGTGGACCAGCTCCAATGGCTTCTTGCTCCTGCCAGCCACACTATGGAAGGGGAAACGGGTAAACTTTGAGAGCAAACAGATTTCACAATTCTCATCAGGTGGCTGTCCGTTCAACTTCAGACCCTTAATAGCTCCATCCTTCTCAGCCTGCTTCAACAAGGGCATTGACACATGCCCCAAGCGTCGGTGTGCCGTTGCCCAATCCGTCTCCCCAGATCTGGCCGACACTTTCACACCAACTCCTCCAACGGCGTTGCACTCCCCCTGGGATGCAGACCCCTCTCCAGCCTGCCCCCCACCATGCCACGCCAACGCCGGCAGCTGCCACATGGATCTGTACACGTCCGTACTCTCGTGCAGATCCCAAAGCACCCGATTGCCCAGCTGCCCCTTGTAAGTGCGTGCCCCATCCGTGCTAGTGCTCACCACAGACTTGCCAAGATTACGGAGGGAGATGAGGTTGGCCTTGAGTTCAGGAACAAGGAGAACGTCGTGCAGCACCACCGGCCTGCCATCCGCTCCCTTAAACGCAGCTCGTCCTGCACCAGCCACCTTCAACGCGTGTCCAGAGGTGGAGCACACCTCGTTGATCGGTGCAGCTTGTACGTGGTCCAGCAGGTCTTTTCGCGGCGTCATCGTCCAAGTAGCGCCCGTGTCCAACACCCAATAATCCAGGGGGTGCAACTCTGCTCCAACCTTGGCAGAGGCGTCTCCTTGCTCCCCCTGCTCCCCCTGCTCTCCAATATGGAAGAACTGGCCCGCGGTGCGCTCCTTCTTCTTTTCCGCACCGCTATTGCTCTTCGGGTTGTTGTTGGACAAATCGGCAACCATGCTCGGGCCGTTTTTCTGGTTCCTCCGCGCGCCGCCATCTTGGTGACGATTCGGGGGGGTCCATCCATCGGGTTTCTTATAGCACAAAAACCAGGGGTGCCCCTCCTTCTCACAATACCAGCAACTCCCTTTCATTTTGCCACCAGCACCCGACTTGCCCCCACGTCCAGATTTCGCACCGCGACCCCAACCGGTACCTCCTTGTTGGTCGTTGGAGTCGTCGTCTTTCTTTACACCGCGTCCAGCACCACCGAAGCCACATCCTCTGCCACGTCGGCTCCCTTGCATTCCGTAGCCACTGCTGCCGTCATCTCCACCCCTTAGTTGACGGTGACGGAAGTCCTCTAGAATCTTTGTCCGCACCCACTCGAGTGTCCACGAGCTCTGGTTCTGCGGCAGGCTCAATCCGCTCGTGAATTGAAGCCACGATTCCGGCAGCAGCGAGAGCATCTTCAAACACTTGGTCTGCTCCAGGTAGGTGATTCCCGCGGTCGCCAACTTCGCGTAGAGGTCGCGCAATTTTTCCAGGACAGGTTGCACCGGCTCTCCCTCGCTCAGGCGCAACGCGCAAAGCTCCCTCTCCAGCATCAATGTTGCAACAACGAAGGTCAGGGCGTGCAGCTCCTTCAACACCATCCACGCCTTCGGACCGCACTCAACCTCCGGCAGCAGGTGCATGACGTGGTGACGCTGGTTCAGCTCCAAACTCTGCGACATCAAATAGTAGCCAGCCGAGGAGCGCTCGTCCCAATCTTCTTGCAGCGCGGGGTCACTCGGTCTAGGCTCCTCCCCAATCATTACTTTCAGCAATCCAATCTCACGGAAATAGAGTTGCATTTTCCAGGCCCAATCATCATAGCCCTCACCATTGAACTTCTCGACGGTGAAATTCTTCAGCACCTCCTTGACCAGCGAGCCCTGGTTTGTTCGCGCTCCCCTTGGCGCTGAAACACCAGAATCATGGCTGCCGCTATGATCTTGGGCTGAAGATTCACCAGCTCCCGTCGAGGTGTTGCCCGCCATAGCTACCTATATCGAGGATCACTATAACGCAGCTCTGATACCAGCTTGTTGGTGTAAGGGCCTAATAAACTCAAGCTATTAAGACTTTATCACACTTAAAACCTCTCCTCGGGGTCACCTCCAAGGGTCCTTGGGTGCCTGGTACAAGACCAGCCCCTATCCTCGGGTCCGAGTTTGTAGAGAGAGGGATCAAGAGGGACTAAGTCAAAACAGCAAGAATACCTTGAACGTCGCGCAGCGTATCGTGCAGACCGTCGATCGGATTAAGCTGAGAATTTCCTATATCGAAGCTCGCTCCAAGAGTTTTAAAATGAACCAAGTTGCCTCGCGAAAAGTTCTGCCTTTACGAAGTTATGGCTCGGACAGCGTTTGCCTAGTGTTGGAGTGCTAGCGTACTAGCGTTGACTCAGGTAGCATTCCGCCGTCGCACCGCGTAGAAAGGAAATTCCAGCAAGGAAGGAATTCGCTTGAATCAATTTCACTATATCCAGGTTCAAACAGAGAAAGAATAAATAGTTCTAGCTAGCAAGGACCTTGGGAATAAATCTGGGAACAACCAAGGATGATCCCAAATAATTCCAAGCAACAGAACCAACCTGGCTGGACAAAACAGCAGGTGGTAGGTTGGAAAACAACCTCTGGTTCTGTTTTTCCAACCTGGGAAAACAACAACCAGGTTCAGCTCCTAAAAACAGAACCTGTTTTGTCTTTGCCCAACCAGCCAAATGCTGGTTCCGCTGGTTTCCCCTGGCCCTGTAGCATGCAGATACAGACAAACAACATTCAACCTTCACCTAAATTGTACCCCTACACTGCCTGCCCTGCTACACTATAGTCAACCAAACAAAACAGTACAATTTTGAGTTGGATAGAACTGAATCTGCGCAATCAAGTAAGCCGAACCGCAAAGCTTCCATCTTGGGTTCCTTTGCGAGCTCGTCCTTACTGCTTGTACTGTTCATAGCGCGTACAATGTTATGCCGAAGCGCACAATGCGTGAGTACCTGCAAATGCTTCAAGCAAAAATTGCGAAAGCAAACAAACAGACGAACATTCCATTCATACCCAAATGCATTCGCACTTGCATACTCGTACAAACAGACGGCAGGATGTCGTGCAATGTGAATTTGCACCCAACAACTTACTGGCGGTAGAGTTGACGGGAACAGCCGGCACCAAGGAGCACGCCATAGGGAGTTCAGGTGTAGGGGGACTATTGAGCGTGGAGAGGGACGCGAGGGAAGCAGCTGTGGGCTGGCAGGTGGATGCACCACCGCCGCCACACAACGCCCCCGTGCCATCGGCACTGCTGCAGATACTGCACGTGGCTCTCTGAACAGTCCCTTTGCCTCCGTCCGCCGTGCAAGCAGAAGCACTCGCGAAACAGTTGGTGCGTGCTGAGCAAGACTGCCTCGAACCTGTTGGGAAGGTTCCCACGAGGTAGTTGCTTTCGAGGTCCAGGTGCTTGATGGAGGTGCTTGGCACCGGGACGCTCCCAGTGAGACAGTTGGAGCCTAGAATCCTGTAGGATGACGCGTGTGGTGGGGAGAGGAGGGGGCTTGGAATGAGTCTAGTATATAGATAAATCAGCAGACCTCTCGGGTAGGTAGGTGCATCACAGGCGCAACATGAAGCAGTAGGCATCACAGACTTGACTAGGGTGGTTGATTAGAGAGAGAGGAGGAAGGGCGAGTAGGAGGAAGGTGGGGGGAGGGGGGAATGGGGAGGTTGAGTGAAGTGCGAGGCAGAAGGATACACAAAGGAAGAGGCGCAGCAGAAGTAGGTGAAGCGGCATGTTCTGGCATAGCATGATACGCAATGAGTGGGCTTTGTATGCTATGGCATAGCACACAGTGACAATAAAGTGGTGAGCTCACAGCTTGGAGAGGCTCTTGAGGCCGATTAGAGAAGAGGGGATGGGCCCAAACAGGTAGTTGTAGTGCAGTTGACAGCACGGCACACAGGGAAGGGGATGAGAGGAAGGAGTGTAAGGGAAGGTGGATGCGAAGGAATCGAGTCAAAGGGTGAGGAGGATTAAATTGGGTATAGCATTCCAGATTTCTACAAGGCCCATACATGTGGGACCTGTGAATGGTGTTCAGATGTGAGGTGCTTCAGGTATGCACAGAAGGAGAAAGAGGGGTGTACACGGCACATGAACGCAAGAGAGTGGAGAGAGAAGGGGGCGCGGATTGCACTCACTCAACAATGAGCTTTACAAACTGGGGGGATCATCTTAAAATAGGGCGGCTACAAATCTCCCAGTCCCTTACGAGCTCTGTAGCTAGAATTCTGCTTCACCCCTTTACGTTTCTCTTGTACCCATCAAAATGGAAGGTCATTTGGAGGGAGCATGGAAACAGAGAGAGGAGTGGTTGAGAGAGAGAGACGTACATGTTCTCGAGCTTGGAGAGAGCAGTGAAGGGTGCTGTGAAGGCATCCAGGCGACCAGCCAATAAGCTTGAGTAGAAGACCCTACGGGAAAGGCAGAAGGGGGGTGTTGGACAGAAGGCACAGGGGAATGGGTTGGGGAAGGCAGGAAAGGGGAACAGGCAGGAGGTGGGAAGGCAGGGGTTTGAGGGTAGGAAATGGGGGGCGCAGGAAACGGGTAAGACAGGGAGGGGGTAAGGCAGGAAGGGGGTAAGGCAGGAAAGGGGGTAAGGCAGGAAAGGGGAAGGAAGGGCAGAGGTGCAGAGATTGGCAGAGGGAGAAAGACATTGCAGAGAAGTGGGCTTACAGAGCAGTGGCCTTACAGAGCAGTGGCCTTACAGAGTAGTGGGCTTACGGAGCAGTGGCCTTACAGAGCAGTGGGCTTACAGAGTAGTGGCCTTACAGAGCAGTGGGCTTACACAGCAGTAGGCTTACACAGCAGTGGGCTTACGGAGCAGTGGGCTTACAGATCAGTGAGCGCAGTGAGCTTGGAGATATCTGCATGCATGGACCCAGCCAGCTGGCACGTGTTGAGGTTGATCTCCACCACAGCCCCGGCCGGCTGCACAGCACGCCTCCCAAGTCCCTCGGGCCAGGGGAGGAGCTGCTGACTCCGGAAACAACAATGACCACCGTGCACAGGGAGTTCACTCCCCAGTCAGAGTACGGCACTCCCAGCGCCACCTTGAGACTCCCAAGCACCGATACTGGAGGGTGGGGGTGGGGGGTGGGGAGAGGGTGGGGTGAGAGGGAGGGAGGAGAGTAACACAGCTAGAGAAGACGTTGCGGAAAGCAAGGGAGTGAGGGAGAGGCACTCCCAGCGCCGCCTTGAGACTCCCAAGCACCGATACTGGGAGGTGCAGGTGGGGGAAGGGGAGGGGATTACGGGTAAAGTGGAGATAGGGGAGAAGTTGATGGATAGAGGGGAGGGAGCAGGGACAGCGTATGGATCAGATGGCTTGTAAAGGAAAAATAGGACACACAAGCTTAGTGGAGAGCTGAGAAATCCGGATTTCGACTCTGACAAGTAGACACTGGGCAGGACGGGAGGCGCACCTGCTGTGGCGTCAATGCGAACTCCTGAGCACTGCATGGGCAGCAGGGCATCTGAGGCACTATTAGGTCCGAGTGCTGCCACTGGCCCGGTAGTGTCAGGCGTGCACACCCCTCTATTGCGTATCACCGCACCGGAACTCCCAGCACCGCACAGGGTGCAGTCAGAGGAGAGCCTCTGGGAGGAGGAGCCAGAGGCGAGGCACTTGGAGGAGTCCGCTAGGCAGTTGCTGCGAGCATCACATGCGGTGGCGGAAGTTGCTGGAAAGGTTCCTCTGAGGAGGTTGGAGGCGACATTGAGGGACTTGAGGGAGGCAGAGGGAGTGTCGGTGATGGGACCAGCTAGGCAGTTGAATTGCACATTGTTGGAGAAAGGGGGAGGGGAAGAGGGGCCGGGGAGAAGAGGACGGGGATGGAGGAAGTTGGAGGGAGGACGCTATGTCTCGTACTATGAGTGGCGACGGAGTGACAAGACGAACAGTGGATGGGGACTTTCGCAAGGCCAATGGAAACGAGATGTGCCTAGCTGAGTGGGTCAGAGATTTAATGTGTGTATGTGTATGTGGGAGAGTGTGTGTATATGTGTAAGCGTGCGTGTGTGCATGTGTGTGTATGTGTATGCATGTGTGTGTGCATGTGTGTGAATATGTGTGCATGTGTGTGTGCGTGCACATGCGTGTGCGCACGTGTGTATACGTGTGTGTGTGAATGTGTTGTGTGTGTGCATATGTGTGTATGTGTGTGTGTAAACATTTGGTTTTGCTAGGGAGGTGGCTTACAGGGCTGAGAGTGTGGACATGGTAAGGAGGTACGAGGAGAGAGGGCCAGAGAACCAGTTGTAGTTGAGAGACCTGGAGGGCAGAGGCGGAGAGAAAGAGGTCACACCCGAGAAAAGTGGGACGCGAGAAATCACGAGAACAGTGATACGCAACCAAATGTGCAAGCGGCTTGGTGTGGTGGGCATGCAATGTTGCAGCAGCAGGGTGTGCAGGCAGGAGGACTGACAGCTGCTTGAGTGCCTTGAGACCCGTGAGAGGCAGAGCCCACTCGCTCATGCGCGCATCCAAGAGGTTGGATGCCACGTTGCTGCGAGCATGGGGACAAAGAGGCACCGGCACAGGGGCATAGGGGCAGAGAGGCATTGAAGAGAGAGCAGAGGGGAGTTGCAAAATGCGAGCTTGTAAGGTTGTGATGTTTAAGGGGCATGTCATAGAATACGTTTGAATGGCTATGGTGAAAATGCGGAGCGAGGTAAGGGAAGATGGATAGGTGCGGAGCCATGTGTTGGTGAAAGAAGGTTGGTGAGCAGCGGCACTCACGGGTTGTGAGGTTTAAGGGGCATGGAATAGAAGCAGAATACGTATGAATAGGGATGGTAGAAAGTGGGCGCAAGGTAAGTGAGGATGGATGGATGCGGGGCCTTGTGTTGGTGGAAGCAACAACACTCACAGGCTGGTGAGCGCAGTGAGCTTGGAGATGTCGGCATGCAAGCTGCCATAAAGATTCATCTTGGAAAGATCCCTGTTGTGACGTGAGCAAGCAGATGTCACCCAGGCACCAAGGAAAAAGGAGCATTGAGCGATGAAGGCAGCGTGCAATGATGAGATATGGAGCATAGAAGGAGGCAATACCTCCTCATGGTGGCAGCAGTGCGATGGTGACATGCCAAGTGGAGGAGGCATACGCTGCTCTCCTCCAAGAGGGTTGCCAGCCTCAGGCGATTCTTGAGGCGATTATAAACCATGCCACTAGATATGTGCCAGCCTCAGCCTCAGTGTAGCTCTCATGCCACATGCACGTATGTACGTTTGTATGAAGGCAACCCTCTCATAGTGCAGAGAAACGCATACAAGGGGCGCACAGGCAGATCTACACCCGGTCAGGCATGTCTTCATACGTAACACACACACAACAAACATATAGCATCCACATAGCACATGTGCATAGTACACACATAGCACATGCACAAAGCACGCACATAGCACATATGCATAGGACACACACAGAACGCACATAGCACACATATAGTACGCACATAGCACAAACATACCACACATGGTGTACACACATAGCACAAACCCCCACACGCACAGGCTAAGGACTTGGGCCGAGAGGTCGCAGACAACGCCCGTCCAGCTTTCCACCGCGGGGGCGTTGCCCGCCAGCTTGCAGGGTGAGTCTACCGCCCAGCTGCTCGCACTCACGCCCAGCCCCGCCCTCAGTGCCAACAGCGCCAGCACTGTGGAGAGGTGGGGGGGGGGGGGGGGGGGGGGGAGGGGCAATGGGCTAGGAGCACAAGAGGGAGGGGAAAACGGGAAGGAGAAAATCAGGGGAAGGGGGAGGAGCAGGAGGTAGGAGCACGAGGGGAAAGAGAGGATCAGTGCGAAGAGTAGAAGGTGGGATGGGAAGGAGCAGGAGGATGGATGGTAGAGGAGAGGAAGAGAGTGAGGGTAAAGTGCGCCAGGCACTGGGCGTGGGTAGGTAGAGAACAGATCTTGAGGAAAGGCACAAGAGGGTTGGTTGGGTTGAGCACTGATTGAGGTGTGAGTGGGAAGGAGACATTCAACATGAGTTAAAGCTGTCAAACAACGAGGAGAAGGCCAGTCAGAGTATGAATCCTTACAAGCTTATGCTGCTGCTGATGTAGCAGCAAAAATTGTACTTTCGAATCAATGGCACTCACTAGTTATCACCTACAATATGGGCCTCAATTTTAGAGGTGCTAAGAAACTTGTGGGCCACTCACCAGAGTTGTCATCCACTAGAACGGCCTGGCAAAACATTGCTGGGAGGGCGGCAGCAGGGTTGTTGATGGTGCCAGCAGCGAGGCGAGCAGCGACATCGGGAGTGCAGGTGGTGCCAGCACAGAAAGGCGGTGCGCCCGTGGCGGAGCCACAAACGGCACAGCCGGAGGTGCGCTGAGCCACGCCGGCATCGTTGGTGCAGGAGCCCAGCGAGGAGAGGCAGTTGCTGCAGATGTCGCACAGCTGGAAGGGCTACGTGGGGAAGGCACCCGCCAGGAGGTTGCTCGCGATGGCCAGCACCTGCAGCTGCGTGGCCATGGCTAGCAGCGTGCCCGTCAGGTAGTTCGCTGCCAGCCGACTGTGAGGTGGGGAGGAGGGGAGGGGAGAGCGGTGAAGGAGGAAGGGGAGGGGTGTTGAAGGCAATGCGGGCAATGGGTAATGGGCATGGGCAGGGGCATGCGCTTGGGCATGGGCATGGTTATGGTTATGGTTATGAACATGGGCATGGCCGTAGGCGTAGGCACGAGCATGGGCGTAGGGTTGGGCTTGGGCATGGGTGTGGCTTGGGCATGTAGGCATGGGCATGAGCATGGGCATAGAATAAGCATGCGATTGGGGATAAGTATAGCGAAACTGACCGTTCTGTGAGTTTAGGCATGTCGACCAGAGTTGATGGAATGCTGTCAAAGAGGTAGTTGGAGTTGAGGTTCTTGGAAAAAGATCAGGCACGCGAATGAGAAGCAGATGAGAACAAGAGAAGCACATGAGAAGCGCACGTTGAAGTGAGTGATGAGTACCCATGATGCGCTGTGGTGGGTCATCTCAGCACATGCTCCCTCTTCTCTGCTAGTAGGTGATTTAACGGTAGGTGATGTGCCGATATATTGCGTAAAGACCGAGGGGGGACAGGTCTCTGTGTTCTCTAGTACCCTGACACTCTCAGAGAGGTCATGCTGGTGAGACTTCTGGGAGTCGTCAAAGGTCAACTCACAGAGTAGCCATGCTGGTGAGCGGCAGCAAGTTGGAGACGAGCTTGGAGAGCTGACCAAAGAAGATATTGTATGACACATCGCTGTGAATGGGTGTGGGAGAGGAGGAGCACTAAGGAGCAGGGTTGGGACAGAGGCTGGGAAGGTAAGAGTTGGTTGAAATAGCATTCTTGTGAAAGTGAGAACATGCATGAAGAGAACACCCCACGTTGCGTGGGGTTGAGGTTCAGGGTTGGGACGTACAGGTAGGAGAGGGCATTGAGCTTGGAGATATCGGCATGGATGATGCCCCTCAGCTCCTTGTTGGGCAACGTGCTGCAATTGGATAGCGGGAGCAGGGGGCATGTGGATAGCAGGAGGCATGGGATTAGCAGGACAATGCACATACTCAATGCAGTGCCACTTAAACAAGAGTTAGCAGGGGCCCAGGAGAGCCTCACATGTTGAGGACGGTGCCATTGGCAATGCACCACACACCCGGCCACGTCTTGAAATTGGCGGTCTGCCCCTCAATGTTGCACTTGCTGCCGTTGCGCCAGTTTGTGTCTCTGACCCCGAGAGCCGCCCCTAAACTCAACAGCGCTGACACTGCCGGTGGGAGTGCACGTGGAGGGGCGAGGGGGAGAGGTTGCTGAGTGGGTACATGCAGGGCTGCATCGTGGTGCATGGGCTTCCAGCAAGGGAGGGTGGTTGGTGGTGTCATGTTGCAATGGTATTGATGGCGGCACTTCAGAAGAAAAGGAAGCATGCATGGAGGGATGGAGGGAAGGAACCCACATATCGTGTCAAAAAGAGAAGACAATCACGCGAAGTGAAATCAAGGATCACGGCAGGCAGTGCATGTGAAGGCAAGTCAGAGGGGTTTGGGAAGACAAGGTCCAGGGACACTCATGTGGCACAAGAGACGGGAGGGAAGGGGCTCACCAGAGGTTGCATCAAGGGGCACGGCAGCACATGCCATTGTGAGTGTGGGAGCAGCAGCACTGTTGGGAACCTTGGCGACGGAAGGAGAGACGATGGGCATGCAGGTGCCTCATCCACACAGCACTTGCGACTTCATTGGTGAGCCACACATGCTGCACTCTGCTGCTGGCCTGTGTGCCGTTCCTTCCATGCTAAAGCAGCCTGAGGAGTTGGAAAAGCCGTTGAGACGAGTGTTGCAGGCTAGTGCAGCAGTGGGGAAAGTGCCTGAGAGGAAGTTGGCTTGCGTGTCGAGAACCTTGAGGGTGGCACCGGGCTTGGGCAGAGAGCCTGGCAGATAGTTGTAGCTGAAGCGACTGGTGGTTGTGATGAGTGGGGGAGAGGGGGAAGAGGAGGAAGAGAGGGAAGAGGGGGATGAGAAGGAAAAGGGGGGAGAGAGGGGAGAGAGGGTAGAGAGGGGGAGAATGAAAAGGGACGGATGAGAAAGGAGTGGGGACAAAGTGAGGATGGGAGTATGGAGTGATGAAAAGGAATGGTGGATTAGGGAATGTAGAGGTGGATTGCGATGTGAAACGGTTTACGGCCTTTGTTACAGGCTTTCGAAAGTGTGGTCATGCGAAATATTCACGTTATCCTGATAGAGTTGTCAAAAACCTCTTGTAAAGAGGTCAAGGGACAGGGAGTTTAAGCGCGGGTTGTTACAAATTGGAGAGGGCGGCCATGACTACGAGCTTGGATGGCACAGAGCCGTAGAGCCAGTTGAAGCTCACCGCCCTAGTGGGACACGTACAGGCATGCGCACATGCAGAGACGCATTTGTGGTGCATGCATGCACATGTACACACACACAATGCACACGCGCACACACAAGTACACATGCACGCAAGAACACAAACAACGCAAACATGTGCCAAAGGGACAGGAGTAATTAGGAGGAAGAAAGGGAGATGATGAGTAAAGCATGAGACGGTGAGAAAGAAAGACCAGCGTCGAGCAACTGAGCAAGGCCAAGCCCAACAACACAGCAAGAGGAGCGCTGGTGAAGAGAATTGTTTGAGAAGGTTCTAGGTCCTTCAATCGGTGGGCTGTCCAAGACATGTAGGGGCTGGCTGTGTAGCAAGTGTCGAACTTGCATCAATGATCCTACACAGGACTGTCCGGGGCACATCAGCAGCGTTTAGTACCGGACAGAAAAACTACCAAACGGCCCGACAAATATCAACGGGAGTTGTGTGTTGGCCCCGTCGACCTGCACGGGAGCCACTGCATGGGCGTCGACTTCAGAATGGCGCCGACTTCCAGGAGGTCGACCTGGGAAGTCGACCTGCGGAGGACGTCAACTTGGTGACGTCAAATTGGGGCATCCGACTTAGGTGGTCGGCTAACAGGAGTGCCAGTCGACCTGGTGGTTAGTCGACTAGGCCTGCTGGTCGACTTGCTGGTGGTCGACCTGACCTGGTGGTCGACGGAGGAGGGGTCGATGTCGACCTCGACTCAGGACGCCGAGCAGTAGGGCGTCGAGTCGCAAGGCGTCCACGTGGTGACGCCGACTTCGGGTAGCCGACCTGGGTGGTCGGCTAACAGGAGCGCTGGTCGATATGGAGCTGGTCAACCAGGAGTGCTGGTCGACGTGGAGCTGGTCGGCCAGGAGTGACGTCGACTTGGAGCTGGTCGACCGGTGGTGTGGTCGACCTGGTGAGGTCGACTTGAGGTGGTCGTCGACTTGGGAGGTCAACGGGCACATATGGGAGCAGCTGGTCGACGTGGTTGCCCGGTCGACTAGGTTACCTGGGTGACGAGGTTCTGCGGAGGAGTGCGCAGTCGCCCAGGCGAGGTTGGCGAGTCCGGCCTCGGTGGTGGTATCCCGAGGTTGACGTGGCTGATCAGATGCAGTCGTCAGCACCAGGTTGACTTGGTGTGTGCGTTGTGCAGGTGACGAGGCTCAGCGCGCCAATCATCTGCGAGCACCTGCGAAGCTGGTGCAATGCTGTACTGCGGGAGCAATGCTGGCATGTCGTCGACTTTGCACTGCTGGAGCGCGGTCGGCCAAGTCGTACTGGAATGCGGTCGACCGTACTGCGCTAGCAGTCAACCGACCTGAATGCTAGCCTTGATGTAGTCTTTCCATGCCAACTTCATTGTACCATTCTTGTCAACTTTCTCTTGTGAAACTCTTGCCAACTTGCCCCGTGAACTAGCAAGCAGTGTGTGCACTAGGAAAACGACGAAGGACCAACGAACACAGAGATCATACGAGCACCTATGCCTAGCCTGTAGTCTAGCTCCCATTGTAGTAGTTATCTCCGCATGGTGCGGTGAGCGTGGAAGGCACACGACTTACCTTTTAGTCACGTCAATGTAGAGGTCACTTACCTAAGTTGTTCGTAGGCCGGCAGCCGTGCAGTCACTAGCGTGCGCATATGTGACGCCAAAGGAATGGAGACCCTGGAAGCACAGCTGGAGGACGCGAGGACACGCCATGGGGTCCACGAATACGGAATGATCCCCTAAGCGGTTGTGGAGGCTGGCATTCGCACCATGTGGGCGACGTTGCACCCTTCGCAACCTACGTCTCCTCGATCGGCGAACACAGAGGGCGGCGTCGACGTGGGCGTCCACGCTGGTGGTGACCAGGTCGGCAGTAGTGCGGGAGGCACGTCGAGGCAGAGAGGTGTGATGCACGCCGATGAAGTCGGCGGCGTTCAGGCGCAGGGAGTGCGGCCGTCGGTGGCTGCAGGCTCCTCGCATGGCAACGTCGGAGGTCGCCGAAGCGGGTTGTCGCCGATGTCGTCGACCCAGGTGACGGCGAGTAGGATTGCTCTGAGCTACGGCTACTTCAAGTTCACGCCGGACAGGATCCTGGTCACCACACCGCTCACTGGTCGACCCGACATCCTCACCTTGAAGGAAGCTATTGAGCCCCAGCTGGAGATGGCCGGGCTGATCGGCTTCGCCCGCGGAACCATGGCGACCCCGGACGACCCCGACTTGCATGCGGAGTTTCGCGTCGTTCAGCTATTGACCTTCACGGTTATCTCGCGGTGCTGCTCTCCGGGTGTGCAGATCGATGTGAAGTGGTGCCGAGAGTACCTCGACGCCGGCCACCGGGCTTGGCACTTCATCGAGTTGACCTACCAGGTCATCGATGACTTGTTCATCGCCCAGCTGGAGGGGCAGCTGATGCACCTGCGTATAGGCGACGAGGAGACGGCGACCAACTACTGCAACCGGGCCCGGCGAATTCTCGCCACAATCAGAATGGCCGGCGCGCAGTATTCGACGGCGTCATACGTCACCCACGTTATGCAGGGACTCTGGAGCAGCTACAACCTCCTGAAGCGGCTGTCGATGGCGCTGAGCACGAGGACGACGCTCAACGAGGACAACTTGACCTCGTACATCCTGCAGGACGAGGCGATGTAGGAGGCTGAGTGGTCCCAGGAGCTCTTGGCGCAGGCGAACTTCGTCACCCCGGCAAAGCAAGGAGGTCGACCGTGGCTGCGTGGACCGTCTGGCGTCGGTGGTAGCAGTGGCTGGAAGCCGACCAAGGAAGTCGACAAGAAGAAGTCGACCAAGGACAGCGGTCGAGGAGGAGGAGGTCGACGTCGAGAGTGCTGGCTATGCGGCGACCCCAACCACCTCTCCTTCGAGTGCCCCGACCACAGTGACTCCGAAGACTACGACAACGCCAAGGGAGGATACGGGAGGTCTGGCAGCCGTCGTCCTCGTCGTGGAGAAAACAAGCCGCGCAAGGAGAAGCAGTCGACCACGTCGACCTCGGCGAAGGACGCCGACTCCTCTGCTGGGGGCAAAGCGCGGGACGACAAGACGGCGTCGTGCTCGCTGGTCGGCGTCGTGGAGCCGACCATCTCACTGTTGTCGGAGGCCGGAGAGGACTTCCAAGCGGTGGCGGCAGCTGTGCGAGCGAACCCGGCGGTGATCCTGCTCGACAGCGGTTGCTCCCACCACCTGATGGGGACGAAGGAAGTCTTCGTCGACCTGCAGCCGAGCGGCTCCATCAAGCACGTGCGCGGCTTCAATGGGGCGCTGCAGGACGTCCAGGGCCGCGGCACTATCGCCCTGCAAGGGGAGTCCGGGAAGCAAGTGCTCATCCCCGACGTGCTGTACGTCCCGGGTGTGCGGGCCAACCTGCTGTCATCCTGCCAGCTGAAGGAGCACGGCGTGAAGCTGCAAGAGGATGGCAATGGGATGCTGCTCATCTCGGCAGCGGGAGAGGTGCTCGGTCAGGCGACGTACTCCGGGCATGTCCTTTGCACCGACCTGCGTCCCTGCTCAACGAGGTCGACGTCGCCCACGCCGGAGGTTGTGGCCCTGCGGATGGTCGTCTCGAAGACGAATTCGACGCCGGACCGGATTCATGCGAGGCTTGCGCATGTCGGCATGGACACCATACGGAGCTCGGCGAAGTACGAGGTTGTTACTGGGCTGGACCTCAAGTCGGCGACGGGCGCCGACTCACCGTGTGTCTTGTGTGTCGGCGGGAAGCTGGCGCGGCACACCTTCCCCGACCAAGGCTCCGACGCCGATGACGTGCTGGCCGTCGTGCACATCGACCTGTGCGGGCCGTTCCGTGTGGCTGCCAAGGACGGCAGCTTGTACTTCTTGCAGCTCAAGGACCGCAAGACCCACTACGTGTGGGTGAGGCCGGTCGCCAAGAAGTCGGACGTGCTGCTGGAGTTCCAGAAGTGGCTGGTGTTGGTGGAGAGGCCGACGAAGAAGTCGGTGCTGATGCTTCGCTCCGACCGAGGAGGGGAGTTCCTCGGGAAGAAGTTCACCGACTTCGTGGACAGCAAAGGGGATCGTCCACGATCTTACCTTCCCGTACACCCCGCAGCAGAACGGCATGGCAGAGCAGGAGATGAGGACGGTGGAGGAGCCGGTGCGGACGATGCTGCTGCACATGGGCATGCAGCACCACTGGTGGCACCTCGCTCTGCGACAGGCCGTCTGGGTCCGCAACTGCTTTGAGAGGTCAACGCTGCCGTCGGGGACGACGCCGCACCAGCTGCTGACCGGGCAGAAGCCCGATTTGTTGCTGGCGCGGGTGTGGGGCTGCATGGCGCAAATCCTCGTCCACGAGCAGCAGCGTGGTGGGAAACTGCAGCCAAAGTCCCGGTGGGGCCTTCACCTCGGCGTGTCGGCGGAGAGCAAGGGTTGGGAGCTCCTCGACATCGCCGACAACCGGGTGGTCACCACGTCGGACATGGTGTTCTACGAGGATCTCTGGCTGGCTGAGTGGAAGTCGGAACACGGGCAGGTGTCAGGACGGACGCCGACCACCCTGCCGACCGACACCTCGACGGCGACGCTGCCTCTACTAGCTGAGGTCGGTGAGCTTGCTGCTGAGGACGTCGAGGACGTCTGTCCTCCTTCCCCTCCGTCTACGACCCCTGCCCCTCCGCTCCTAGCCAACCTGCGCGGGCTGACCTTGGTGTCAGCCTCCGGCAATGAGAGGAGTAGTGGGACGTCGCCTTCGGTGCCGGCCAAGAGCATCACCGGTGGCCGACATGACGAGCAGCAAGTCGACGTGGGGGTGAAGTCGACAGGGGAGGAGCAGGTTGAGGAGGAGAAGCCGACTTGGGTGAAGTCGGCAAAGGAGGCAGCTGCGCAGCAGCCGACGAGGGAACAGGCAGCAGTGAAACCGACCAGGGAGAATTGGCAACTAGGCAGTCGGCAGAGAAGCTGATCGCAGGGGAGAAGTCGGCCAGGAAGTCGACCGAGGTGCAGCAGGACGACGAGGGCAGCGAAGCCGGTGACGAAGAGGAAAAGTCCACCGACAGCGACGTGGTGGAGGTTCGGCCTGAACCCCGGAAGTCAAGGGGACTTCGGAGGCCACCCGATTTCTTCATCCCCGCTGCGTTCACCCCAGTATACGACGTGGACGACGACGACTTGGTGTATGAGGGCATCGAGGAGGATGAGGAGTTTCCGGGGCTTGACCCCGACATGCATGCCGACCCCGAGCACCGTTGGGACATCTCGACGATGACGGTGAAGGAGGCGCTGACAAGCTAGAAGGGCACGGTGGTGAAGGCCGCCATGGAGGAGGAGATCCGCAGCCTCATCAATATGGGCACGTGGGAGCTGGTCGAACGCCCGCCGGGGGTGAACATCATGAAGAACCGGTGGGTGCCGACAACGAAGTACCACGTCGACGACACTGTTGAGCGCGAGGAGGCGAGGCTGGTCGTGAAGGGCTTCACGAAGGTGTACGGCGCCGACTATGACGAGATGTTTGCGCCGGTGGGCAGCTACGTCACGCTGAGGATCTTCCTCAGCATCGTCGCCGTCCTCAACCTCAACCTGATGTAGCTCGACATGAAGAACGCCTTCCTGCAGAGTAAGCTCAACTGGATGCTCTACATGTCCCAGCCGGACTACTTCAACGACGGAACCGGCCGGGTCTGCAAGCTGCTGAAGAGCCTGTACGGGCTGAAGTAGTCGCTGCTGCTGCGGTACTTGGCGCTCAACAATGTGCTGGTCGGCGCCGGGTGGAAGAAGAGCCAGGTCGACAAGGCTCTCTACTTCAAGGTCGGCAACGACGGAGTGGCTTGCTGGGTGCTGGTCTACGTCAACGACCTGCTCGCCGCGAGCAGTAGCACTGAGATGCTGAAGGGGCTGAAGGAGCTGCTGGAGTCCGCCTTCGAGTTGCGCAAGATCTCGCCGGTGCAGAAGTACCTCGGGCTGGAGATCGTCCGCGACAGGTCGGCGGGGAAGCTGTGGATGCACTAGCAGAGCTACGCCGACAAGATGCGTAGGCGCTTCATCAACGAGGAGCAGACTCGGCGCACCCCGAAGACGCCGGTCTCGGTCGATGCCTATGCCGACCTCACCTTCGGCGATGAGGAGGCACAGGAGCGACAGGAGGAGGAGTACCGGCAGAAGGTCGGCTCGCTGCCAGTCGCGGCGATGACGACGAGGCCAGACATCCCCTTTGCCTGCAGCAATCTGGGGAGCGGCCTCACGGTGAGGAGCGACCAGCTCTGGCGCGAGGTCGACCGCTGCCTTGCTTACCTCGCCAACACGCGTGACACCGCTCAGGAGTTTGGCGGTGGACCTGAGTCGCTGGAGCTGGTCAGCTACATGGACACCGACGATGCTGGTGACAAGCAGAACAAGACGAGCACGGGCGGGTACATGTTCGTCTACGGAGGGGCCGCAGTCCTGTGGTGGAGCCAGCGCATTAAGTGCGCGACGTTGTCGTCGACCGAGTCGGAATATGTGGCGGCCACCGAAGCCGGCAAGAAGGGACGTCGACTTCGCTCCCTCCTCGCAGAGTTCCAGCAGCTGGATGCTGGGAAGCCGATTGTCCTCCGGGTGGACAACAAGTCGGACGCCGAGGGCATGGGGTTAACAGGCAACCTCAAGCACACGGAGTGGCGACAGGCCTGGTTGCAGCACATGGTGAAGCGCGGGAAGTTGTCATTGAGGTACATCCCGACCACCGAGCAGCCGATCGACTTCCTGACAAAGGCGCTGCACTATCCGGCCTTCAACCAGTGCTCCGTTGCCATCAGCCAGGTGCGCTTGGCTAACATGGGCGACGGCGACGACGACGTGCAGCAGTAGGTGCCATGCCCTCTTGCATGGCTGGTGCTGTGGACGACGTGCTGTGGGTTGGGTGCACATCGATGAGGTATTCTCTGAGGAGTACTGCCGTGTAGGCTCGGGGCCCAAGCGTGAACGCGGCAGGGGAGTGTCAACGGGAGTTGTGTATTGGCCCCGTCCTCGCTTGGGCGGAGCCGACTTCGTGGTCGGGTGTGAGAGGAGCAGCCGACCTGCAGCAGTGGGCGAGCTGGTTGACGAGGAGGTTGACCTGCACGGGAGCCACTACATGGGTGTCGACTTCAGGATGGCACCGACTTCTAGGAGGTCGACCTGGGAAGTCGAACTGCGGAGGACGTCAACTTGGTGACGTCAACTTGGGGCAGCCGACTTGAGTGGTCGGCTGACAGGACTGCCGGTCGACCTGGTGGTTAGTCGACCAGGCCTGCTGGTCGACTTGCTGGTGGTCGACGGAGTAGGGGTCGATGTCGACCTCGACTCAGGACGCCGAGCAGCAGGGCGTCGAGTAGTAGGGCGTCAACTTGGTGACGGCGACTTCGGGTAGCCGACCTGGGTGGTCGGCTAACAGGAGCGCTGGTCGACATGGAGCTGGTCAACCAGGAGTGCTGGTCGACGTGGAGCTGGTCGGCCAGGAGTGACGTCAACCTGGAGCTGGTCCACCAGGGGTGTGGTCGACCTGGTGAGGTCGACTTGAGGTGGTCTTCGACTTGGGAGGTCGACGGGCACATACGGGAGCAGCTGATCGACGTGGTTGCCTGGTCGATTAGGTTACCTGGGTAACGAGGTTCTGCGGAGGAGTGCGACGGTCGCCCAGGCGAAGTTGGCGAGTCCGACCTCGGTGGTGGTATCCCAAGGTTTACGTGGCTGATTCGATACAGTCGTCAGCGCCAAGTTGACTTGGTGTGTGCGCTGTGCAGGTGACGAGGCTCAGCACGCCAATCATCTGCAAGCACCTACGAAGCTGGTGCGATGCTGTATTGCGGGAGCAATGCTGGCACGTCGTCGACCTGCAGCATTGGCACGCCGTCGACTTTGCACTACTGGAGCGCGGTCGACCAAGTCGTGCTGGAACGTGGTCGACGTGCTGCGCTGGCAGTCGACCGACCTGAATGCTAGCCCTGATGTAGTCTTGCCATGCCAACTTCTTTGTACCATTGTTGTCAACTTTCTCTAGTGAAACTCTTGCCAACTTGCCCCGTAAACTAGCAAGTAGTGTGTGCACTAGGAAAATGACTAAGGACCAACAAACGCAGAGATCACACGAGCACCCGTGCCTAGCCCGTGATCTAGCTCCCGTTGTAGTAGTTATCTCCGCAATAAACTTGGCTGTGTGCGAGAGGTCGTGGGCACGAGGTGCACTCACAACTCCTTGAGAGAGGCTGTGGGCAGGGTAGGAGCCACAAAGGAGTCGAGACGCTAGGTAAAGAGATTGGACGACAGGTAGCTGTGCATGGAGGGAAGTCATGAGGGAATCGAGAAGTGTAGGTGAAGAGTTTGGGATGGAGGGATATTGGTTGATGCTCAAAAGAATGTGCATGCTGTATGTGCAGGAAGGCATTTGGGTTGGGATTGTGATACGGAATACGGGTGAGATTAGTGCAGTGCAGGTTGCGAACAACACGATTCCCGCCCAAACAGATAAAATCCTGTCCTGTCACCTGTTCCAGACCCCATTGGGCATACTTGAAACATCAACCTCAAATATCTTTAGCTTGAACTACGAACCCTACGGCCTTACCATGCGGTGAGTGTGGCGAGTCTAGAAATGCCTCCGCCCACGGTGGCATTCTAATCAACTCAGAAGATGAATGCTCGAGTCAAGAATAGAGGCAACCCGTGGCCTTACAGCGCAGTGAGTGTGGTGAGCTTGGAGATGTCGGCATGTATGGTGCCTCGCAGCAGGAAACTCCGAAGATCCCTGCCCTTCCGGCAGAAGGGGGCAGAGGGACAGCAGCGGCAGAGGGAGCAGCAGAGAAGAGGGAGCAGCAAGGGAAGAGGGAGCAGTAGGGGAAGAGGGAGCAGCAGGGGAAGAGGGAGCAGCAGGGGAAGACAGAGTGGTGGTTCCTAGTCAGGCATGAGGACAGGGGTGGACTATGATTGGTGGGTGCACACACAAATGGCAAGAGGCAACAACACAGCATATTATTCTGGGGTCTGGGTTGTGAGGAGGGCGTAGCAGCGTGAGGAGAGGAGCAGCAGCACGCACAGGGGAAAGACCATGGAGAAACGCTGCATATCAGCAAGGCAGGGGTAATTCTGGAGAGAGTAGGGCAGCAGCACAGCACTCACAGGCCGACGACTATCCCGGCAGACGAGCAGAAAACGCCCCATCAGGAGCCAGGCACGGGCGTCTGGCCTTGAATCGTGCACAGACCCGCTTGGCCTGAAGGAGGAGCCACAAGCAGCACCCTCTCCCTACTCGCTTCACTCTCTGCCAGGCGCCGCCACCCCATGGCCTTGGTCTTGGCCTTGGGGGATACTGTAAGGTAACTGGCATACCACTCGGTGAAGGTGACCCCGAGAGTCGTCTTTACAAAGAGGAGAAAAACGGCTTGCGCTGCGTTCAAAGGCACACCAACGCAGAAGCGTGGGAGAATGGGAGAAGGGGCGGTGGGGGTGGTGGAGGAGGCAAGAGGCCCGGCAGTGTTGGGAGCACAGGTGCCACCAGCGCAGATGGGATCGGTGCCCTTGGGAGAGTCACAGACGGCGCAAGAAGCCAATGGGTGCTGCGTGGTGCGTGTGGTGTTGCATGCGCCTGTGCTGGTGAGGCAGTTGGAGGAGGCAGAGCAGGAGAGGAAGCCAGTGCCGGGTAATGTGCCGGCCAGCCAGTTCTTCGGCACGTCAATGGCCTTGAGAGCCGTGCCGAGCTTGGGCACGGGGCCGTACAGGTAGTTGTAGCTCGCACCGCTGAAGAGGGAAGGGTGAGGAGGGTGCGGATGGGGGGAACGAGTGGGAGAGTGAGTGTGAGGTTAAAGGTGAGGTGGGGCAGATGCAGTGATGCAGCAGGAGAGAAGACAATGGGGCAGCAAGAGCAAAGGAAATGGAGCAAGGAGGTCTCACAATAATGTGAGGGAGGCGATGCCCACAAGGGCAGAGGGGATGGACCCAGCGAACCAGTTGAAGTTGAAGTTGCTGCCATGGGCGAGGCGATAGGGTTGGGAGGGAGATGAGTGGGTGAGAAAGAGAGGAAAAGGCAATCATGTCGTGGGAGGAGATGTCGGGAGTTCTGAGGAGTGGAGGGGATAAGATAGGAGGGGAGTGGAAGGAGTATGGGGGAAAGCAGAGAGGGGTGGCAATGGGTGGCTGAGTTGAGAAGCTGGGGAGGTTTGATAAGAGGAACGGGACGGGTATCCATGCCATGGTAGACAGAGAGAGTTGCGGCAGTCTGCCTCCTTTCAGCTTATGCTTCTGTTTCAGCTTATGAGCTCAGCACTGCAAGCTTACAGCTACGCTGCTATGCTGTGCATGTTTATACCTTTTGCTCTGCACTACTCTCCTCAGCTCTGCTCTGCTCTCTGCACTCACGCTTGCTTGAGCGAGGTGAGCGCCTTGAAGCTGGTTGTGAACGCCCCTGCAATAGGTTGCTGCTGAAATCACTGTAAGGGGTACATGGGGAGATAGGGAGGGGGTATACGTACTCGGTTAAAGAGGGGGGATAGAGGTGAGGGGTGTGGAAGAAGGTTTTGAGTAAGCACCAGAAGGTGAGAAGTGAGGATCGAGTTGAACGAAGTTGGTAAGCGAGCAAGAGGAGAATCAGAGACAGCACGTTAGAGCCATAAGCGGGTGAGAGACAGTAAGGAGAAACAACAACACGGATCACTTTGAAATGAGTAGATGAGCAAACAACAGCAGTGAGTGCATAGAATGAATGGTGTCATAGAGGATACAGTGGATGCGTTTCATATGTCAATGTGGGAGTTGGTTGGGAAGAGAGATTGACGAAGCTGGACGATACGACGATACAAAAATTCCATGAAGCGTGGAAGGCACGAACGGGGACACTAACATATGGCAGCGAGGGAGATTGGTCGGGGAGACCTTTGAGGCAGCTGAAGAAGAGACTTACACGGAGGTGAGGGTGGAGAGCTTGGAGATGTCAGAGTGCATCTTTCCTGCCAGCTTCTGCCCCGACAGCTTGCTGCTCATCCAAACACCAGCCAGAAACAACCAAACACAGCCAGAAACAGCCAAAACACGGCCAAACGCAGCCACACATAGCCCAGCACAGGAAAACACAGCCAAGCACAGCCAAACATAGCCAGACACAGACAAACTCAGCCAAACACAGCCAAACTCAGCCATACACAGCCAAACTCAGCCAGACACTGCCGCAAACAGCCAGACACAACCAACAACAACCAAAAACTGTTAGTTGCAGCAAGGACGTCCAAAGAGACGTGATGCTAACAGGGAGGTAAATATTCATTTACTTTAAACTGCGAATTGGAACTCTCGGATCAGCCTTAGCAGCCGCAACAGAAGCAGCAGCAGCGGGCCGGCAGCATGGGTAAGACGGCGTGAAGACCGGGTGTCTGACAGGGAGACGGGTTTGAAGGCAGAGTTGCAAAGGACGTTGGACCACGCGCCTGGCGGTGCTGCCACTCCCTCCACGGCACACGGCGAGCTCACCGCCCAGCAGGTGAACGACACTCCCAGCGATGCCTTTACACTCAGCAGTGCCGCAGCTAGGGGGGGTAGAGGGGAAGGGGGAGGGGAGTGGGGTGCAGGTTGGGTGAGTCGTTTCGATTCTTATCAGGCAGAGCAATGCGGACAAGTTTAACGGAATACACTGAGGAACTTTTTGAAGGGTCTGACATAATCTGATAGGGTTTGCTTTGAGATCATACACAATACTCTGGTTGTACGGAACGGAGCAGGAAGTCATGCAAGGCTCCTCGGCCCCATTTGGCAACCACATTCTCACATGTCCCCTTTACACACGCACACATACACACACACTCACACACACACACACACACACACACACACACACACACACACACACACGCACGCACATACCGTGTTGCTCAGGATCCGGTCACTTTGAAGACTTACGACGAACTCAAATCTCAACTGAACGCAAATCCGCTCAGTGGGATTGTGCGTGCCGGTATTAGCTACCATTAGCAAGTTAAATCACTTGATTTCATGGTCTAACGAGTGAGAACCAACTGAAAACGTATAGCTGCTGCTCTCACTAGAAAGGATGGAGGAAGAACAAACATTAGGCATAGAATAAGGAGTTGGGGGGTTTCAAGAGAACCTTGTGAGGGAAGGCTTTCCAAATGCTTGGGAAGGATGGTGAGAACCTTCCTAGCATCAAATATGCAACCCTCATGATGAGGTCCTTGTGGTGTCACATGCAAAATCCAATCCATTTGGATTTTGCCTACGTATTGCAACATTTGCAAGTCATGCTAGAAACTCCTAGCCACCCCAATCCAAATTTCAAAGTTGCCTTCCTAACTACCCAACCAAAGACCCCTTTGTAGTCATGTCCTAATAATCGCCCAATTTAGTTAATATCCCAAATCAAGATAGAATTCCCAAATCCTGGAAATCTTGTAACTTGGGCGATCTTGGACAGAATAAGGCGATCTTGGTATCGTTGGAAAGCTCTGGATTTCTCCTGCGCGATCAATCATTTAGACTTGGAGAAAAAACAGAGGTGATAAAATCCAAAAGCCATGCATAAGGATTTATGCTCATGCAAATGACGCAAGCATGAATTGCACGAGCACACTGCAGGACGTTAGGTTGACATGCATGCATACTGACGTGCATACAACACACCGCTCATGGATGCCTGGCCTCACTGCTGGCAGCACTCGCCCATAGGAGCATCCATGGGAGCACCCACGCAGTACATCTCAGCTCTCCCCGTATTCTCAGTCTTTGCTGCGATCAGATCCGTCGAACTAGGAGCACAAATGCCGCCATCACAGAGCACCCCAGTGCCGTTGGTGCTGCCGCAGATGGCGCATGCATCTGCTGCACGCTGCGTGCTACCGCTGGTGCACTTGGCGTTGTCCTTGAAGCAATTGCTGGTGCAGCTGCAGTGGGTGGTGGTGGTGGTGAGGAACGGTCCCACCAGGTAGTTCCCTAATGCGTCCAGGTACTTGAGGGACGCCGGCAGCGCTGCCGGCATGCTGCCCGTCAGGTAGTTGCCCTGGATCTTCCTGTGATGGGCAAGGGCATGGGGGAAGGAAGTCCACATGGTGATGATGTGAGCATATGTTGGAGCCTGTGATGGAGCTCCAGCAGGAGTTGTAAACTAGACTGCTTCATCACTGTAGCGAGATTCTGCTCTTTTTGTTTTGTTTGTAGTAAGCCATAGGTCACGCTCACCTACTATTTGCATTGATGTACCATAAGGAACGCAAGTCTCTTTACCAATACACTCACCCCCTTTAGAGAGGCAAAAAGGAACCGAGCTTTCATGTAAGACTTCTTGGCCAAAAGGGGGAGAGAGCTCACAATTCAGAGAGGGCGGAGAAAGCAGTGAGTGATGGTGGCACGGCGCCCAACAGGTAGTTGTTGCGCACGTGGCTAGTGGGGGCAATGAGGGCCGCAATAGGGAGAGAAGGGGATGGATCACACAGCATGTGGTATGTGATATCGCGTGCCCCGTAGGGGCTGCCATGCTTGTATGATCTTGTTGCATGCTTGTCATGTAAGGACATGGGGAAGAGGTCGAAGCCAGGCAAGAGAGGCAAGACATGCAAGACAGGCAATATAGATAAGACAGGCAAGACAGGCAAGATCATCCAGGTGGATGCAATGGCACTGCCGAATTCTTGTTCATTATGCAGTGTGGTTGGGTTGGGGATGCAGTGTGGTTGGGTTGGGGATGCAGTGTGGTTGAGTTGGGGGTGAAGTGTGGTTGGGTTGGGGGTGCAGTGTGGCTGGGTTGGGGTTGCAGTGTGGTTGGGTTGGGGATGCAGTGGGTTGGGTTGGGGATGCAGTATGGTTGGGTTGGGGGTGCCGTGTGGTTGGGTTGGGGATGCAGTGTGGTAGGGGTTGTGGGAGCGAGTGCAACTCACAGCACGGTGAGGGTGGTGAGCATGTTGTTGGTGTAAGGGCCTAATAAACTCAAGCTATTAAGACTTTATCAAACTTAAAACCTCTCCTCGGGGTCACCTCCAAGGGTCCTTGGGTGCCTGGTACAAGACCAGCCCCTATCCTCGGGTCCGAGTTTGTAGAGAGAGGGATCAAGAGGGACTTAGCCAAAACAGCAAGAGTACCTTGAACGTCGCGCAGCGTATCGTGCAGACCGTCGACCGGATTAAGCTGAGAATTTCCTATATCGAAGCTCGCTCCAATAGCTTTAAAACGAACCAAGTTGCCTCGCGAAAATTTCTGCCATTACGAAGTTATGGCTCGGGCAGCGTTTGCCTAGTGTTGGAGTGCTAGCGTACTAGCGTTGACTCGGGTAGCATTCCGCCGTCGCACCGCGTAGAAACGAAATTCCAGCAAGGAAGGAATTCGCTTGGATCAATTTCACTATATTCAGGTACAAACAGAGAAATAATAAATATTTCTAGCTAGCAAGTGTCAGAACATATAGCTTACTTGTTTCTGTAGGCTATAGTGGGGTATCCCATAGGGGGTACAACCCAATTAGGGTTTCCTATTTGTACCCACTTCATTTCATAGTCATCCACTCCCGTTCATTCAGTTTCACATGGTATAGAGCGGGTCCCTTCTAAGGACCGTTCTTTTTTGGGCCCACCCACGATCTTTTTTTTCCTGCCCGGAGCGCGCCCTATTCTCCTCGAGGCGCGCTCCCCCTAGTGCGCGTCGAGCTGCCCTTGTGGCGCCCCGAGAGTCGCGCGCGCGACTCATTTTTTTTTCGCGCGCGCGGCCCGGGCCCCACTTCGCGCGGCCCTTACAGCCGCGCCGCGCCGCCCTCTCGGCTCTGCCGCGCCGCGCCGCCCTCAAGACGGCCGCGCGGCCTCTTCGTCGCTACGGCACGCCCCCCCCCCCCCCCCCCCCCCCCCGCTGCACCTCTGTCGGCCCCGCCGCCGCCTTACCTGACGGCCGCCGCCTCACCTGACGGCCCGCCGCCTCGCCCTCTGGCCCGCCACCTCACCAGACGGCCCTGCCGCCTCACCTGACGGCCCACCGTCTCACCTGCTGGCCCGCCACCTTACCTGACGGCCCCGCCGCCTCACCTGACGGCCCGCCGCCACCTTACCTGACGGCCCCGCCGCCTAACCTGACGGCCCGCCGCCTCACCTACTGGCCCGCCACCTGACCTGACGGCCCCGCCGCCTCACCTGACGGCCCGCCGCCTGACCTGCTGGCCCGCCACCTCGCTGACGGCCCGCCGCCTCCCCCGCTGGCCCGCCACCTGATCTGACGGCCCCGCCGCCTCACCTGACGGCTCGCCGCCTCACCTGCTGGCCCGCCACCTGACCTGACGGCCCCGCCGCCTCACCTACCGGCTCGCCACCTCACCTGCTGGCCCGCTGCACCCTGACGGCCCCACCGTCCCCTGTCCCGGCCCCGCCGCTGCACCCTGACGGCCCCGCCGTCCCCTGTCCCAGCCCCGCCGCTGCACCCTGACGGCCCCGCCGTCCCTTGTCCCGGCCCCGCCACTACACTGCAGCCGAGCCGCCCAGCAGCAGCCGAGCCGCTCAGCAGCAGCCGAGCCGCCCAGCAGCAGCCGAGCCGCCCAGCAGCAGGCGAGCCGCCCAGCAGCAGCCGAGCCGCCCGGTACCCGAGCCGCCCGAGCCGCCCGAGCCGCCCGAGCCGCCCGAGCCGCCCGAGCCGCCCCACCAGCCCGAGCCGCCTGCTGCTGTCCTACCCGACTCTCCTAGCCCGGTGAGACTTTCAGCTGCTGCCATGGCCACCCCCAATGTTCTTACTTTTGACGCTGAGGGGAGGGCCATTGACTTTGCCGTCTGGATTGAAGACCTGCAGCTGTACTTACTGTGTGATGCGATAGATGAGGTCTCTCTCTTTGACTTTGTCTCTGGCGCTGTCCCTGCCCCGCCTGCTGATGCTGACTCTGCTGCTCGCTCCAAGTGGGCGACCCGCGATGCTGCTGCACGTCTTGCTGTGCGTCGCCACCTCCCTTCCTCAGAGCGTGCCCACTTTAGTCAGTGCAAGACCGCTCAGGCCTTGTACGACGCTGTAGTTGCACGCTACTCCTCCCCTTCCTCCGCTACCCTTAGCCGCCTCATGCTACCGTTTCTCTTCCCTGACCTCGCTTCCTTTCCCACTGTTGCTGACCTAGTTACCCACCTCCGCGCTAGTGACACCCGCTACCGTGCTGCCCTTCCTGCTGAGTTCCGCGCTGCGAACCCTCCTCCCATGTACATCACTCTCTACTTTCTCGTCACCCGTCTCCCTGAGTCCCTTCGTGTCGTTAGGGACCAGTTTCTCTCTGTCTGTCCCACCACTCTCACTGTCGACCTCCTTGAGGAGTCCCTGCTAGCGGCTGAGAAGAGTATTGTCGCTGTAGGGGCCTCTCGGGGTGACCCTCGCACCCCCATCTTTGAGGGGTGTGGTCCTTCCCCCCTGCTGCCCTCTGTCGCCTCTGCCGCTGCGGCCGACCTCGCTGGTTTTGAGTCGGTCGGCGCGGCGTCTGCCCCCAGCGGCAGACGCCGCTCTGGCAAGGGCAAGGGGGGCAAGGGGGCGGGTGGAGCTAGAGGGGGCGGTGGAGGAGGCGGTGGGGGTGGAGGGGGGAGTGGGGGTGGCGGTGGGGGTGGTGGCGGGAGTGGAGGTACTAGTGGCGGCGGTGGAGGCGGAGGTGGCGGCGGAGGTGGTAGCGGAGGAGGCGGTGGGAGCGGTGGGAGCGACGGTCCTGGTGGGGGAGGTGGCGGTGGAGACGGGGGTGGCGGTGGAGGCGGGGGTGGCGGTGGACGCGGGGGTCGGAGTGGCTCGTCCCAGCGGAGCAGCTCTGGGGGTGGTCAGCGCCAGCAGCAGCAGCAGCAGCAGCAGCAGCCGCAGCAGCAGCAGCGCTCTCGCACCGTCCCCGGCCCTCAGCAGCTCCGTGAGTGGTACTTGCAGCGTCAGCGCGGTGGTGCGCTTGGTCCCTGCCCCTACGTTCTTCGCACCGGTGACCGTGCGGGGGAGAGGTGTGGAGGCGCCCTAACAGCCCGTCGCTGCTTTGGCCGCCTGACCGACGCCTGGCGTCAGCAGTTTCCGGAGGCCGCTGAGATCCCCCGCTGGGGAGAGCTGTCTAGGGCTGGAGTAGCTATTTATGATCTTGACTTTGATGCTATTCTTTCTGCTATGTATGCTGTGACTGGTAGTGATGAGGATGACTGTTACGGGTGTTTCCCGCCCGACCCGGGCATTGGTACTGCCGCGTCAGGTACTAGTGAGGCTGCAGCTCTAGGTGCCAGTGCGTCTGTGCTCTCAGGTGCTGGTGAGTCCGCCCTCTCAGGTACTGTGTCGGCTTCGGCCTCTCACACCTTCACCCTTGACTCTGGAGCGTCTCGCTCCTTCTTTAGGGACCGCACCACTCTCACGCCGCTGAGTCGGCCGGTTGCGGTGTCCCTGGCTGACCCCTCTGGGGGACCTGTCCTGTCTCGCTTCTCCACTGTCCTCCCGTGTCCAGCGGCCCCCTCTGGCACCCTGACTGGTCTCTACCTCCCCTCGTTCTCGACGAACTTGGTGAGTGGTGCTGACCTCCAGGATGCAGGTGTCCACCAGTTCACCCCTGCTCGTCAGCGGGTGACCCACTGTACCGAGGCGGATACAGGTCGTCACCTGGCTACGTTTACACGTCGGCCAGGGTCGAGCCTGTACACACTGACCACTGCTTCTCCTCCAGGTGCTGCGTCTGGTAGAGTCCCGTCGTCTGGTCAGGTGTTTGCTGCAGCGTCCAGGTCTGGTCCTGAGTCTGCCCCCTGTTCGTGTCGTCGTCTGTCTCACGAGACCCTCCTCTGGCACCACCGCCTTGGCCACCCCTCTCTGCTTCGGCTCAGAGGCATGGCCTCGCGGGTCCTTGTGTCTGGTCTTCCCCGGTCCCTCCCTCCCCTTCCTCCGGGCCCTGGCCCTGCCTGTGTCCCCTGTGTCGAGGGGCGCCAGCGTGCTGCCCCTCACTCCTCCCAGTTTCCTCCGACAGAGGCCCCGTTGCAGACGCTTCACATGGACGTGTGGGGCCCAGCCCGCGTCCGTGGACAGGGTCAGGAGCGCTACTTCCTGCTGGTGGTTGACGACTACTCGCGTTACACCACAGTCTTCCCCTTGCGCAGCAAGGGTGAGGTCACTGAGGTGTTGATCGACTGGATCCGCGCAGCTCGTCTTCAGCTTCGGAGGAGCTTTGGCTCTGACTTCCCTGTTTTGCGTCTGCACTCGGACAGAGGCGGAGAGTTCTCCTCTGGCCTCCTGAGTGCCTACTGTCGTGTGCGAGGCATCCGTCAGACCTTCACGCTTCCGGACTCACCACAGCAGAATGGGATTGCTGAGCGCCGCATTGGCATGGTCATGGACGTCGCTCGTACGTCCATGATGCATGCGGCTGCTCCCCATTTTCTGTGGCCGTTTGCGGTCAGGTACGCTGCGCACCAGATCAACCTCCACCCCAGGGTCTCTCGACCAGAGACCTCCCCAGCCCTGCTGTGGACGGGGAAGGTTGGCGATGCGTCGGCGTTCCGGGTCTGGGGATCTCGGGCGTTTGTTCGCGACCTGTCTGCGGACAAGCTGTCCCCTCGTGCTTCTCCCTGCG